ACCGGCGCCGCTGGGGGAGGGTGGAGGAGGGACGCCCCACACTGGACCGGCGGCGGGCCTTGCTTGTGGGGACGGCCACACTGGGCCTCCGCTGATGACAGGGCGTGGGCTCCATGTCATCCTGTGGCGTTGGTTCTTTCTTCCGGAAATGACGACGAAAAAATGTATCCATTTTCACCAGAGACGGAGGACAAACCTTGGTAATGGTCCGCACTGTTGGACGCAAAACCCAGTTAGCTTCACAGAAAACCGCTGAGCAAGAACAGACTAAGAGCAGTACTGGACCAGTACACATGACCAGAGCAGACCCAACAGGTCCACATGTTCTAAGAGACTGAGTCTAAAGAGTGACACCTACAGTTTAGTGACAGAAACAACATACCCTTATGGCACACATGGTTCAAGAACGATGGTACCTGGGCACACGGCTCAGACCAACTCAGATATTAGCTTTTTCAAACAACTATCATGGAGTCAAGGAACCATCAACATGGAAGGTCCGACCTCATTCAGACTTTTGTCCAATCAGATCAGTGCTGGCTGTCATTGGTCACACAGGGAGGAGACAGAGTCTCACTGTCTGTCGTCATAGAACTGGACTGAACTAGTCTGGCAGAGGTCTATGAAAATCAAGACTGACTTCTGGTCTGGAGATTTCAGCTGTGGTTGTCAGTCTGTTCCTGGTATCCTGCTGGTAATATAAATAATCAAACGGCCAAAGCAAATGCACCCACAGGGGGGCAGCATAACAACAGGAAGCTGTGCTGATAGTTCTGACTTTGACAGTCAGACTGACTGACTGACTCCTCCGTTCCAGGGAGGTGTTGTCTTCCTGAAGCTTCTCTGGAGCTCAGACAATAAAAGCTAAGCTACTTGAACCTATTATCACACATGACCAACAGATTAGTGTCTCACACACACACACACACACACTTGTCCGTCCGCTGCCTAACCTTGGTGAGCAGCAGCAGCAGCAGCAGGTCTTACTGTCAGGTCATGTGATCAGAGGCTCAGCTGATGTCCAACAGATTACTGTTCACCTCAGAACCTCAGGACCCGGTCCACACACTGTCCAGCACTCGGTGGAGTTGGACAGACCAGACTGAACTGGACTAGAGAGTCAACATAAGGTCCAACAACCCAGACTGTGTCAGTCTTCTTCTGCACCATCTGTTCATCCAGGAACTCACCAACGTCCTTGTTGCTACAACAACTCAACTCAAAGTTCTGTTGTTGTTAATACAACATTAAAAACAAGGTCAGGATCGTCGGTTCAGGACCAGGACCAGGACCATCCCAGACCCTGAAGGCCTGATGAAGTTTCTCCCACTGATCACACTGCCCTCGTTATATTAGGAGATAAACACACCTTGTGTACACACACACAAACGCACACACACACAGACGACTAAAGACAACCACAGAAGAAAACACAGAAACGACAGACGCTCAGTTCAGTCTGATACAACCTGAGAGGAGGTGAGGAGCTCCTGGACTGAGGAGGAGGGACAGGGACGGAGAGAAGAGGGATAAGAGAGGGACGGGAGGGGAGGGGAGGGGAGGGGTGAGGAGGTGTGTGTGGGCGGAGACAGCTGCTGCCGTGTTAAATAACTCCTTCATTTAGAAGAACACTGACACGGACCCTGGGTCCACACCAGTGGCACTAGGTTGGCTGTAGAACCAGGACTTGAGAACAGCCGTCTGTGGACTGTTCTGCTGGTCTGGACCCAGCAGCAGATCCTGGATCAGGGTCTGGGTTTGAAGCCTGCAGCTGTTCTGAGCACGTCTCCTAGTCTTTGTGTCAAGACTCACGGACGGGCAGCTCCACCGCCACTTCCCAGAATCCTCTTCATTAACACTTCAAGGCTGCAGGCCTGATGCATTATGGATCCAATTAAAGCAATGATGGTAGAGAAGAAGAGAAAGACACAGGATCTGTGTGTGTGTGTGTGTGTGTTCATTAGAGAAGAACAGTCACATTCTCTGGTGGTCTCTGTTTGTCTCCAGGTAGCAGACTGGTCACCGACCTCCACTGACCGTGGGTCTGGACCTGGGCCTCGCTGAGGCGTTGGACAAAGACAGAGTGTTGTAACCATGGTTGATGGTCGACCACTGAGGTCTGAGCTGCAGTGCTCTGAAGCTACTCAGCTGTGGTAGTTGACCAGTTGACCAGTTGACCAGTTGACCAGTTGACCAGCTTCAGAGGAGACCCAGACTGATGGACGTGAGACATGTAACATGTGGACCAGGGTGGTTTTATGACTGACTTCCTGTAACATTACGGTCAGTGACTGTTGTTTACACTGATTGTTTGTTTTGTCCTGATTGGTTCAGTTATTGATCATCACTAACCAGTTAGTTGTCTTTTAAAATCACACATTCTTCACTGACTTCAGGAGTGAACACTAATCTCCCCCCTCTCCCCTCCTGCACCCCCCCTCCACCTCTCGACACTCACTGACTTCAACTGGCTGCTCTGACGACAGGCCTCTGCTGCCCTCTGCTGGTCATACCAGATAAGAATAAGATTTAAGGAGGGAAAGGAGCAGGAAAGGGGGTGACCAGTTCCTCCTACCTCTGTCCTCCTCTCTGTCCTCTCTTCTGTTCCGACATCTAACTCCTTTTACCTCCTCTCCTATCCAAATGAACCTCCTGCTCTCCTGCCCTTCTGCACGAATGAGTGTTTTTCCAACTTTTATTAAAGCTGTCTTTGTCACTGTACAGGTCCTCCTCTTCCTCCCCCTCCTCCTCCTCCTCCTCCTCCTGGACCAGCCTATTATTGGAAACAGGGCCATCCAGTGATAAAGATAGATTTAGAAGTGGGTCTGAGAAATCCCTGGGACCTGAACGCATCACACTCTCACTTAGGTTTGTCCTCAGAAACGTGTCTGCAGATCGGAGTCAACACACACACACACACACACACACACACACACACACTGCAGGACCAGGAACTGAATAAAAGCACCATCACTATTTCCACCTGTTTGATTGTTCTACATCAACAGTTCCTCTCAGCAGCTCCTTAACCATGTAGTTCCCTGGTACCTGGTTGTGTAGTTTCCTGGTACCCGTGTTGGGACAGAAGGCAGCTGAGAACATCCTCCCCTCAGTCCCTCAGGTTCCTCCATCCAATCATGAGTGACGTGTTCCCCGAGGAACCTGGAGAACCTCCTCTGTTCATTAGATGAACCCATTTAGAACAGCTATTATCAGAGTTCCCTGGGAAATCACTGACAACCCAACTGACACTGACCACGCTGTGAGCGCCCCCTACCATGAACACCAGCCTGATGGTGTTCATGGTATATATACTGTACATATATACTGCACATATATGTATATGTATGTATATGTATACATATACATATATACACATATATGTATATACATATGTATGTACTACATATATATATATATATATACACATATATATATATACATATGTATGTACTACATATATATATATATATATACACACACAGTGGACCCCACAGTGGACCCCTGGACAGGAGTTCTACAACCGTTCTACAACAGCACTCGTATGTCGATCAAATTTTCCCCATTCAAAAAATAACTAAAAACCAATTAATTCGTAGCACCCCCCCCACAGAAATATACTATTAATTAATCAAACTAAATTAATTAAATTAACCTCATCTAAACATCAAAAACATAAATATAAACAAATATGTTGATAATATAAAATTATAATAATTAAGAAAAAAAATATATTATTGTTATAAAAATGGGTAAAATAACCCAGAGAGGGACAGTGAGCGAGACAGCGCCACACAGTGTCGAGTGGATGTTCCTCGTTTCCTCGTAACACAGGAAAAATCTTGCAAGAGTTGCAAACCCACTCATTTCTTGTGCGTAATGATCTTTATTAAAGTGCAGAGGATCAGAATAGATCTCACCAAAACTCTTTCTTACATATATTGAAATACTACGTCCACACCACAGAGACATGTTGCTACTTTCAGACAAGCCCGAACTGGCTGCGGTTTTTGTTTGCGTCATCATGACTTCCTGTTTTGGCCGTTTTGTTTCGGTGATAAAAGTCTAAATTTTCGGTGGTTGAATATTCAGTGCATCGCTAATATATATATATATATATATATACACACATAGATATATACAGATACATATATACATATATATATATTCTGTAGGTGTATATGTATAAGATAATACTACATATATATGTATATATGTATATACAGTACGGTACAGTAGAGTGTATACTCTGCAGTACCGTACTGTACCGTTCCGTATGGACCAGTGCAGTGCTCCACTGGTCAGTCCATCTTTCATTGGTAGTATATAATTAACTGCCAGTGATTAGAACTATTGTAAACAAAGTTCCTGTGCTTTAAGAACCGATGGCAGCAGAAGTTCTCATCTCTGGAGAACTTCAGTTCACCTGGACGCAGCTCCTCACACACTCACCTCCTGCAGAAGATCATCAGACCACGGAAGGTTCTCCTGCCTCCACTGCTGCTGGGGAGGCAGCTGGGGGCCACAGTGGTGGAGGAGTTCTCCTTCTCTTCTTCCTCCACTTCCTCTTCTTCTTCACCACCGTCCTGCACACGACTCTCCTGCTCCTGCTCCTGCTCCTGCTCCTGCTCCTGCTCCTGCTCCTGCTCCTGCTCCTGCCCCTGCTCTTCAGGCTGCCTCTGCTGCTGCTCCATGTCTCCTGCGCCTCCGTCTCCCACTTTCAGAGCTGCTCTGAGGTCAGAGTTATGTCCAAGCAGCAGCAGGAGCTGACCACCATCCTGGCAGCTCCGCCCCTGCTGCTGCTGCTGCTGTTACTGCTGCTGCTGCTGCTGCTGTTACTGTTACTGCTGCTGCTGCTGCTGCTGTTACTGCTGCTGTTACTGCTGCTGTTACTGCTGCTGTTACTGCTGCAACAGCCTGTGTGGGTGTGTGTGTGTGTGCAGTGAAACTCTGCTCCACTTTAACAACAGAAACACAAACTCTTCTGACTTTCATCCACACAGACGTGCTCCTCCTCACTAAACTTTATTCAAATATGTCTCTCCTCTTTTCTTCTCCCACTTTACCTCTCTCTCTCTCTCTCTCTCTTTTGTTTTCCTTCACTCTTTTTGTTTAAGCCCCGCCCACCTCCACAGTCCCTGTGGGTGGCTGAGGTTTGGAACTGCGATGCCTGCTGGACACAAGAAGGAAGTGCAGCTGCTGGGGGTGAGACGTTGTTTTATTCATATGATTGTTAATGTCACTCTGAAAACAGTGAGGGATTCGAACCATCGACATCGAGTTCTTCTCTGATGTTCCACTAGTCAAACTGGTCCACTTCCTGTGGTGTTGGTTCTTCTTCTTGTTGGAGTTGAGAACATGAATCTGGGAATAGATGAAGATGAAGATGATGATGATCTTCCTCCTCTCTCACATCTCTGCCTCCACCCACAGAACTGTAGTGTAAAGATGGAGAGTCAGCCCACACACACACACACACACACAGAGAGAGAGAGAAAGAGGGCGAGAAGTGAAGGTCTGACCACGGCAGAGTGAGAGCCACGCACACTCTTCTACCAGCTGCACGTGTGGCTCCATCCTTCTCCTGCTCACAGGAGGTGGAGGTGAAAAAGGAGCCGGGTGATTTCTGACACCCATCAGGACAGCGGTGCAGGTGTCCCAGGGACAGCCAACAGTTCCTGGTACCAGTCGAACCCACGTCCCTCTGACAGCGGCACGTGTTGACGTGTTGTTAGACTTTGATCATGCAGGCACATGAATGAGTGTGTGTCAGAAAACACCCAGCGAACAGATAATCCCATAATCAAATCAATGTGTTCTGTTCTCAGCCAACTGGTCTGCCTAATGACTAACACACACACACACACACTCTCTCTCTCTCTCTCTCTCTCTCTCTCTTCTTGTCTGACTGACCTTTGACCTCTTACATTCATATTCAGTCTGTGTAGTTCACTGTCGTCTTCTTCTCCTTCTAAAGCCTACTTCCAGTAGCTCAATAACGCAGAAGTGAAAATGGCGGCTCTCGGACGCGTTGCTAACTGAATGCTGAGATCACGGAGACTGAACGAACAAATGGAAGATGCTCAGTTTCTTCGTCGTTCTTTTTTTTATTCCTTTCTTTGTTCTTAGACCACGGGTGTTCATAAATGGTACTTGGTCCAGTACAGTACAGTACAGTACAGTACAGTACAGTAGCAGGGCCCAGTCCTGTCCCGTCCCTACTTCAGGTTGTTGGTCCCTGGCCTGGACAACCTCAGAAGAGTTTGAGTTCCACTGAACACCACAGAAGACGAAGTCGATGACAAAAGTGTAGAACCCGTTTCCACGGGTTCTCTCCTCTGCAGCAGAACAACTGTGTCCACGGTTCAACGTGAAGCAGTGGTTCTGAAGAACTCTTGTTCTCCGCCCACACGCTTGTTACAGCAGAACCACACGACTCCGGATCCACTCTTTCTTTTTCCAGCTCCTGTGGAAGTGACTCATGACCAGAGTGTGGAGCTGTTTCATAACGCTAACCCAGATCCACTCCTGGACCTGCACCAGGAGATCCAGCTCTGGGTTCATGTGAGGGAACCAGGCACCAAACACACAACCGTCCACACTAAGAGGGTTCTGAACACACCGTGGAAAGAAAAGAAGAAACAGGAGAGACTCAGGAATAAGAGACAGGGGGGAGGGGACAACTAAAGAACCTGCTGAAAAGACTAGTTAACTCTGTCCTGGTAACGACAAAAACACAGACTTTAGACAAAGATCTGAGTCCAGATCAGTTTAGGAGATACATGACATGAACACAGAGCGGTGTGTGTGTGTGTGTGTGTGTTGCGGAGCCTCTGGTGTCCTGGTCCTGGATGTTGACGTTGATGCGGTGGCGTCTGGACAGGAAGTGTTTAAAGATGGAGCTGTGATGTCACATCTGAGCTGATTTAGAAAACCAGAGTCTGCTTTTCAAAGACCAGCGGCAGGTTAATACAGTTACCAGGAGGTCTTTCTTCTTCTGATGTCTGCTGGTCACAGTGTCACACGTGGAGCTGCATGTCCACCTCAGATGGTTTTTATTTGTGAAATTTAAAACCATCCTGTTTTATCTTCTCACTGTTCAAAACAACAACAACAACAACAACTGTGTATGTGTACTAGGACTAGATGTTAGTATCCCCGTTAGCAGCTGCTGGACTTTGACCAGAGGACCAGGTCTGGCCGCAGGTTGGATGCTGAAATTTCATGTTGGGAAAATGAGCCTGTGTCTCAGGTCAGTCTGCATTTTCCAGTCTTGAACTACATTCAGAGGTGATCTGTCTGAAGGTTCCCGTCTGGATGGACGATGGACGTTGGTCAGAGTAGGGTTGACTTAGTTTCTACGTGCAGAACATTGATGGTGACCCTCCTCACCTCCAGTTGAGCCACTAAACCCTTCAACACTTGGCTACGGTGCCAGGTGTGTCTGCCTTGTGTGAGGCATCCCACTAGAATGTGCTTTAACGTTGCTGGAGAAGAACACTGGAGACAGACTGGCTCCTCTCCAGACCAGAGGGGAAGGTTATCTGGAGAGGGCCCTCCTCCCTCTTGTTAAGGTGGGAGCGACACCATCGTGTCATTTCAAGCCCTGTTTTGGAACATTTTCATTCTTCCACCAGGCTTGAGATTGGGTGAGAGAGTGCTCCTCTTACCTGTGTGTTTACCAGACGATTGGCATGGGACAGTGACACTTCATTCACAGATTATTTTCTCCTAATCTGACCGTAATCCCTGGTCATCTTCTTCTTACTCATCTTTTTATTCTATTTTTTTTCTTCTTTTTATCCTCCTTTTTATTTTTATTATTTTATTATTTTATTTTATTTTGGGGCAGTGGTGGATTAGTGGTTAAGGAAGCGGACTTGGGTCCGGGAGGTTTCAGTTCGAGTCCACCAGCTGCCAAGTTACCACTGAGGTGCTCTGAGCAAGGCACCGTCCCCACACACTGGTCCCTCGGTGCTTAAAGCTGCCCACTGGTCACTTTGGTGATGGGTTAAAAACAGAGATCACATTTGGTGGTGTGCTGTGTTACAACGACAAGTAGTTCACTTTCCTTTATCACTTGATGATCAGCATAAATATATGAAGAGGTCCAGACCCAGGCCCCGACCCACATCTTGATGTTCCTTGTCTATAAATTCAACAAAGGTCTGGAACTGTTTGTTGCCTTTGGTTTTTTTCAGTCACCAAAGATATTTTTAGTCTCATTCTGCAAAAACAAACCAAAATGTCTTATTTGTCCTGGTGAAAACAAACGTATTTATTGCCCCCGAGTGTTTTCGTTAAAGTCGTTAAAGGTGTGTTCCAACATATTTACTTCCGGTAGTCAAACAATTCAATTTTATCACCAGGAAATGTTTTTGTTTTATATATATATATGGTCACTAGAGGGCACAATAAGCACATATATGTATATGACTAACACTCACTGGTGTGTCTCCTGCGGTTATTGTGCCCTCTAGTGTCGAGAATCCAACATAACAGCTTTGACAAAGTTAACACCAGACGTATGTACGTTCTGTACAACGTCAACGTACAAATACTGCGCCACGGTTTGGAATGTTCCAAACCACGATGAAGTGAATATTTCGTTACACACAAAACTCCGAGGTCGAACTACCACACAACCGCGCTATGTCACAGTAACAAAGTATTTTATAATGTAAGAGAAGAGTACCAAACAAGTGTATGAAAGAACCCCAGGTTACTAGTCTCAAAGTACTCCTCGACTGGAGACAAGATACTTGAAGGGCTATCATAGTAAAGGTACGTCTTTTTGGTGCATTATACTTGTACAAAAAGGTACAAGAGTAAAGTATCAATTATTGAATGTAGCGTTCAATAATTGTACAAAACGTAAATTTTGTAAAAAAAATAATGCATCTTAGTATATGCTGTTAAAGTACTTGGTTTAGGTTCCACAGAAAGGTTACTGTGTTTGTTGTTAAGATACCATAAGAAAGTAGTTCTGATTGAAAGACTGCAGTAAATGAAACTTGTGTGTGTGTGTGTATTGCTGGTCATTGTGACATTTGACCTTAGTCACCCTAACCCTCATCCCACATGTTTAGAACCACATCTGGTTGTAAACACTGGTCTCAGTGTCCTTACAAGAACTTTAAAGTCCAGTTCACACTGGTGAATGTGTACTGCTGTTAGGTCAACTGGTCTTTATTTAGTGGAGTACACAGGTACGTGTAGTAAAAGTTACTTTGTACGTCGTTATGACGAATTCTACTCCACAAACGGATGGTATCGGGTCAAATTGTCCGAGTGAGGCCCGTCATTGGTTAGGTCCAATAACGTGAGGCCTTCTTATATTTGGGTCTAAACTTTTGGTTCGGTTGTCTGCCTGAATCCAAGTCAGTGGAGTGCCCTAACCAGAATAGCTGCGCTTGTCTTTGTTTGTGTGCGTGCGTGCGCGCGTCCTAGCGTCGACTTTCTCTCCATAGAGTTTCACTGAGTTTACATCCGGGTTTTTTCCCTAGGCAATGGGAGTCGCAGCACCGCCGTTCCTTAGGCAAAGTGAAATAAATTCGCCGCACCGACACAAAAAGTAGTTCGTTCTCCCAACACAGTTGCCCATCGATAAGCATCGCCCATCGACCCCGCTGGGTCAACTTTTACGACGACGGGCGCCGACGTCGAGGCTTCGGTGGTGAACAAGCGGGCACCGGCGGGACGGAGAAGTAGTTTTTGTGCCCCCTTCCTCCTGCTCCGAAGCGCAGGGATCTGTGGTGTGCTGCGGTCGGGGCTGAATGAGATTGAAGAAGAGTTCTTCTTGTTTTGTAGCTTCAGTTTCTCTGTTTTTACATATTTTTAACCCCAACCAAACATTAAATACGGAGACCGGACAAAGCGGTGCGGCCAGGAGGCATAGCGGGCTCTTCGAACTCCGCTGTTCGGCCGTGGATCGGCTTCTTTCAGATATATATTTAATTAATCCAGAGGAGGACTGCTGCTGAGTAAGTGCACACTGGGGCTCTTTTTTAATTTTCATAACTTTCATTTTCTTTGTAGTCAAAGTTAAGCCGTGCCCCCCGGTGGCTCCGGTGCCCGGGTGTCGGCGATGTGTGTGTGCAGGTGTGTAAGCAGACAGTCCGGGTTTGTCTGCGTCCAGCGCTGCTCCGCTTCTCTTTCTGCTTCTTATTCTAGGAGTTGATGTTGTGGAGGACAAGGGGCCGATGGAACTTGGAGCCAGCGACGCCCGCTTCTTGTCATAAATTTGTTGAAACATGTCGTCTTTCGGGGACTCTTCCCGTCTGCGGGATTTTTTGCCTCCCCGGTCGTGTGGTGTTGTGCCCTCCCCGGTCAGCCCGCGGTGATTCGTCGCCCCGGGTGGAAGTTTTTCTCCATCAGCGTGGCTGCGTTAGCCACCGCTGCTAACAGGCTGTAGCATTAGCGGCTACTGCTAACCTTATCCACTTGTTCTCTCGGTGTCTCCCCCTCCCTCTGCCTCTACGGAGCAATGTCGGCGGAGACAGTGAGGCTCGGTTTGGCCGATATTTGTTTTTTATTTTTAAACATTTTTCCAATAGATTTGCCACTAAAAGCTGGCTTTCCCCCGTTTATAAACAGGGTGAGTGTGTATACCCGCAGTGGGTTGATGAGAATAATACTGAGAATAAGACAATAAGCAGGTTATAAAAGCTTCACAGCGAGTATTGGAGGAAAACACACAACAACAACAACACACTTTTCTTCGTCTTCTTTCCTTCTGCCGCCGCCGAAGCTGTCGACGCCTTTCATCTTGAAAACCTCCATTTTAGCTTCATTTTTGTCGCCTTTTCGGGCCTTTAGCTGCGGAATGTGAGGCTGTTGCTGTTGGAAGTTTTAGCCTGAAAAACTTCACGTCCAATCCGGGGAGCAATTACTGCAATTAATCGGTCATGCTAATGCTGGTACTCATACTACTACAACTACTACGACCCCAACAGTGAAAGTTGTGGCTGTGCTGTTTATAATGGTGTTGATTTTAAGAGTACAAGCAGATTAGGTTTTAGTTGTTAGATTAATTGTGGCGTAAATAGCCATGAATAAATTACCAAATATTCAAGTTGTTTGGCCGAAGTAACGTCTAGTTTTCAATGTAAATCGCATAATGTATGCATTAGAGAGCTAATAAGTAGAAGTACTTTCATACATAGTATTTTTAACTACAGTGGAGTATTTTCCATCAATATGCTAAAAGGGGCATTAGTTGGACAAAGCCCTGGGTCAGGGGCCAATCAACTGTCACCTTTCATTAGCTGCATCCTAAAGTTCAACATCACATCTTTGTGCTGATCCATTATTGCCCCCACCTCCAGGGGGCAGACTATTTTCTAACTATTTCGTACATTTCTTAAACCCTTTTTTGTCCAACTATTTTGAATCAACCTTTTGTTTATCTTTTTCGTTCGTCCGACTTCTCTCTTCCCTCTCTTTCTCCACGTTCGTTAAGTGTGGACCAGACTAACTTTTGGTCTTTTTGGACATATTTCCCAGCCTATCTATGTTAAGAATTGTTTACTCTGTGAAGCTTTGTTTATATTTGGTGGTATATAATAATATACATAAGTAAATATAGTATTGAGCTGTAACTTCAAGCTGTAGAATTAATTCATTTCAGTAGTAAAAGCTGTAACTTCAAGCTGTAGAATTAATTAATTTCAGTAGTAAAAGAGGAGGACATAAGTTATTTGTCAGTACTAGTATTGTTAGTATTATTGTTAGTGATTGTTATTTTAGAGTTAACAGATTGACATTTCACTACAATTTAGTTTCTGAAGTAAATGTGTTTGATGGAGATGTTAACGTAGTTTATTGTGGTGGTACCTGTAGTATTTCCATAGGTACACGAAGTTACTACACTTTGTTGTTGAGTGGTGAAGTGCAGTTCAGTCAAGAATTTATAAATATATACAAAATATTTATTAAGAGTGAAATATATGTAAAGTAATTATATATTTAATTTCAGATAGTACATGACTATAACTAGTACACTGATAAAAGTGAAGTAAACCAGATGTTGACAACTTCAGCTAGTACATGAGTATAACTAGTACACTGAAGGAAGTGAAAGGAGAGAAATGGTATAACTTTGATGGTTGTTTTCCACTGAAAAACAACGTGTGTGTGTGTTTCGTGCAGATTAAATGTTTATAATGTGGTATGTGTTTGTGGTGTTTTCCAGGGCAGCACAGAGGGGTGGAGTCCAGTCCCTCAGCCTAGTGGTGAGTCCTAAAAAACTGTTGGTAGTCCCACATGTTGATGTGTGAATTAAATCAGTGACAATTACAAGTTTGTATTTGTACAATGTTTATTTAAGTGTTTAATTAAGAGTATTAGTTGATTTAGAAATGTGACATCTTTTACTGTAGTACTTAAGTAGTTCACCTTGTATTTAACACAAATGCTGATCAAAGTATCACTTTATTATTTTAAAAATAATATTTTGACTCTGTTCAAAACTTTTAGCGTACATTGTCTTTGTGTTTCATGTTTTACACAGAAAAAAATAATCTAAATGTTCTCACACTGATGTCATAGAGATTACACATTCAAAACACATGACCGAGTGGCGCAGGAGAAGAACAACTGTTACATAGCAGAGTGGAGCAGGAGAAGAACAACTGTTTCATACAGAGAGCAGATTCACATTCAATCAGCCTCAGCTGGACGTTCACTGAAGTTCTCTTTTCCACTGCTGACTGTTACCCCCCAGTTACCCCACATGTGACCTGTGCTGTGTCTTGTTTCCAGCGGCTCTTTGATGCTTCAGTTGGATGGTTTTCCTACCGGACACGGTGTTGAGGTACAGTTACTTGTGCTGTTGTCTGAGTTAAAGACAGGGGTCACTCTTTCACCGCCTCCTGAGTTCAGAGTGTGCCAACATGGCAACACAACATGGTTGTTATCAACCTTACAGAAGGAGAGTGGAGAGCTGGTCAGACATCTGCATCACTGAGGTCCACACAGAAAACCAGTGTCTAGAGCGGTAATGAGTCTGGGGTCAGGCTGAGGTCAGGCTGAGGTCAGGCCAAGGTCAGGGTTGTAGACAACTCACTGATGCTCTGATGCTTTTCTCTTTGGACTTTGGTGGAAACTTCACTACTTCTTATACTGCAGTATTGTCATCACGCTGCGACTTCTCAGTACACAAGTATTTCAAAGTACCATACACATACTAGTATTTTTTCTCTAGGCTGATCGATCGGCTGACAGACTGACTGGATCCATGATGGAGTTACAGACGCTACAGGAGGCTCTGAAGGTGGAGATCCAGATCCATCAGGTGGGTGGAACTGTTCAGTGTCTGGTACTTATGTTCCTGTTACTAAGTTGACGTTAAAACAAAGATTTTGTTTTCTAACTGAATTGTACAGAGCATAGTTTTGGGATGTGTTTATGTGTAGTAGTCATTAGTGACCAGCAGGTGTCAGGAGTGCCTATATTTATCCTGCATCTCTTTTTCACTCCTCCAGAAACTGGTGGCCCAGATGAAGCAGGACCCTCAGGTGAAGCAGCGTCTGTTTCCTGAAGTCAGTCTCACCCTGTCTCCGTGGTATCAGGCTCACCTGTTGTTGTTGTTGTTGTTGTTACAGAATGCAGATCTGAAGAAGCAGCTGCACGAGCTTCAGGCAAAGATCACTGCGCTGAGTGAGAAGCAGGTACAACTGACAGAGAGGTTCTGAGGAGTGGCCTTCAGAACCGACCCAGAAACTAATACTGAACCAGACCCTCCTGCCTCTGCTGCTGCTGCTGCTGCTCACAGCACAGCTGTGAACTGTTTCTTTAGACAGAAACTTTTCTGGCTTCAGCTGCAGAGTCAGCTGTTGCTAAGCAACTGATGGAGTTTATCTTTTGATTTATGTCAGCAGCACCTGTGTGTGTGTGTGTGTGTGTGTGTGGAGCAGCCAATCATTATTGATTATTGATCTGTCTGCAGCAGCTTTGATGACTAACTGCAGATGTTTGATCACTATTTAGGAAAACCACAGCATGTGCTTTTCCCTACCCCCTACAGGTGGTGCTAAAAGCACATTTTAATATTACCTTCTCTGGGCCGATGTGCTTCTACAACATTGTTGTTTTATATAAAATACTTCTGTCATTAACAAAATTTCATCTTAAAATAACCATTTTCCCCTCTCCCCCCTCCTCACCCAGAAAAAGGTTGTGGAGCAGCTGAGGAAGGAGCTGCTGGTGAAGCAGGAGCCTGAGGCCAAGCTGCAGCTGCAGGCCCAGGCTCTACCAGGAGGAGGCGACATAAAGTCAGCTACCCTGCTGCAGAGCCAACAGATAACAGGAGGACTGCAGCAGGTCAGCCACGCACGCACGCACACACGCACACACGCGCGCGCGCTCAGACTTATCACAGAGTGAAGGGCTGCCTCAGAGCTTTGAGTCCCAGACTAAAGGTTGAAGTCCCAGACTCACTTCTGTGAAACGATCCCGGCATCAACTCACAGACGACGTTGTTGTTGTTGTTGTTGTTCTACTGCCTTCATCTCATAGTTCAAGTGTGTTGTTTTTACATAATTTAAATGCACTGACACAGACTAACCACCAGAGGCAGCAATACAACAGCAGCACCATCCTTTAGCCAACTGTTTTATTTCAACCTGAACCAAGTTCTGAACAAAGACTCTATGATACAGAACCAGATAAGAACCCGTCTTGTTCTGCAGACGCTGACGGTGACGCCCGTCCTCACCACAAAGACTCTACCTCTGGTGCTGAAAACTGCTGCCACAACCGCCCTGCCCGGCTCTGTCCTCCAGCAGCGCCCCCCCACCGTCACAATGGTAACCACAGCTATCACCAAACCGGACTCACAGAACACTCCCATCAACCTGCAGGTGGCCAGCAAGCTGACCAATCAGAGCCCGGAGCCTGTGCGTCTGGTGTCCAAAAACGCCATGGTGGTAAGTTCTTCTGGTTCTGGTCCGCTCCGTGTCTCTGTCTTCCTCTGGTTTATCTCAGTGTGTAGTGGACTGGGCTGGGCTGATGTGGGGGCCAGCT